GGACAGCATTTCAGATTCTTTGGAGACATTGCCTCATTAATGGCCTAAAAACAAAATAGACTAACAAGATAGACTGGTTATTTCTTGACTAATGGCCCTTCATTATTATAAACAGTCATTAACAGAACTGGAAACTGAGGTTGAAGCTGAAAAGCAATTTGTGTCTGGTGGGGGTGACGTGTCAGAGTTAATAATGAAAGGGTGGGATGTCAGGTTTTTTGATTCATTTTAAAATATTTTAATCAAATTTAAATTTTGAATCATAATATTAAAAAAAAATTAATAATTTTTAAAGTTTAATCAAAAAAATATACAATATATATAATTATATATTTAAATTTTTATTAAAATAATTTTTATATTTTAAAAATAATTTTATTATTCAAATCAATCGAATTGATATAAATTAAATTGCAATTAAAAATAAAAAATTCGAATCAAATGAGAGTCGAATAAACTTGTCATGTAGCCAGTCGCCACGTACACCACGTGGCATACTTTAATTTGAAGTCTTTCAAAATTTCTAGACTGAAAACGCATTCAATTTAAAAATAATTTCCGGATTTGTTATTGTGTAGCTTCAGTGTGGATACATCACCCACAGGAAGAAAGGTCCTCCTAACATAAATATAAGTTACTCAAAAGACTGAATTTGGTGTTAGCCAACGGGCAAAAATCCCCAGGTAAATCTTGAGTCCTTTACCTTTATTAGTGAATAATTTTTTTGTGAAACCATGCTATTGTTTTTAAATATATCAATAATTCATGTATTTTTATCAAGGTTATTTTATATTAAATATATATAATATAAAAAATTATTATATTAAATTTGTGTTGACACATGAAATATAAACATATTTATTGATTTTTATCAAATTTATATATAATTTTATTAAATTTTAAATAATATTATTTTCATATTATATAATCGTATTATGTTTAAATTATCGACTCTATCCTTTTTAAGTTTTTTTTTTGTCCAAAACATGCTATTGGCCACCTTGACACATAAGAAATTTGCTGGTTCAAGTGACACTATCATCCACAATATTGCACTTACTTAGTTTGCATATTCTTTGAAATGAATGATGCATTGGCGGTTGGTGTTGTGACTCTTGCATCAGCTAAATCGTCTTTCACCGCATGACAACGTTCATTGGTCAAGCAGCTGCATGCTCTGCGGCCTGCTTCTTGATCGACACCAATGTTTTGGGAGAAAGAACCTTGTTACAATCAAATTAAAATCTTTAAATTTCACACACAAAGTGAAAAAAAATGAAAATACTTATATAAAGTTTATAAAATAAAATTCGTAAAATTTTTATTAGTAATGATTTAATAAAAATTAAAATTAAAAATTAAAATCGATTAATTGATAGAATTCAATAAAAAAATTAATAATATATAAAAAATTATTTAAAATATCTTTCATAATTTAAATTTGATAAGTATTTATTTAACAATAAAAAATTATCAAAAATTTACCAAAATATCCATCTAAAAAAATCAAAATTTACAAATTTTTTTAAAAAATTTTGTATACTTAATTTATGTAATAAGAATTTTTAATTTATCAATTTTAATTTTTATTTTATTAAATCATTTTCAATAAAATTTTTTCATAAATTACATTTAAAAAACTTCGGTTAACTCTTTTCTGGTATCTAATCCACTTGACGTCTCTTGGACCACTTCATTTTTATATTACAAGTAGGGGTGATAATGGTTTAGTTTGGTTCGGACTAGGTTTGGTTTTTTTTGATATCATATAATATTTTGAAAATTTTGGTTTAATTTGATTTACTGATTTTTAATTATTGTATATTATTTTAATATAAAATTTTAATTTATTTAAGTAGATTTTTATATAAAATTATTATTTTTATTTTATAAAAATTTAAAACATATATAAAAATTAAGAAAAATATATAGTTCAATTCAATTCGACTTTTTTCAAATTTTTACCCCTTGATTTGAAATTCAATCTAAATTTAATATGTATATTTAATATCCGAACTTGATTTGAATCAAATAAAAAATATCAAATTAAACCAAACATTACAATTTCTAATCGATTTTTAAATTTTTTTGATTTTTTTTCTCACCCCTAATTGCAAGATTCAAGACTCCCCTTTTGCCCATGCCTTGAAGTTGACCTATATGATGGAAAAACCCTTGTGCTCTCAATTAGAAAACAAAAAAATAAAAAAAAAAATCCATATTAACTTTGTTACCAAACATAAAATGTTGTATAAATAAAAATGCTTTAAAATTTGAAATAAATATGAACATATTAATAAAAAAGTATATCTACTAAAGATTTTATTTTTAATTCTATAAAATTTCCTAATTAAAAAATGTTTAATTTGAAATCAATTAAAATTTAAAATGAATAATATTTTACAATTAATAATTTTAGATTTTAACATTTGGTCTAATTGATAAGGATTTTTGTTTTTGTCAATCAATATTGAACTTTTTATAAAAAAAACATTTAGAGTGCGTTTGGATGGTAAATGAAAAAAATTATTTGTAAAGAGATTTTTAATTTTTAAAATGAAATTATCACAAAATAAAAACTGAGATTGCCAAAATTCTTCAAATTTGAATGAAAAATATATATATTTTTTAAATTTCACCTAATGAGGTGAAATTTGTTAGATTCTTTAGTTTTATGGTAAGAAGTCAATATTTATTACATTTCCTTTTTATGTGCAAATTTTTTTTCTTTAATTTTAACTACAAAACTTATTATAAAATTTATTTTTTAATTTTTTATATTATTAGTAATATCTATATATTTTTATAAATCTAATGACATCCATATTACATATATTTTTAATAATTGTTTTTTTATCGTTAATATCATTATTTATCTATTATAATTATTTTTATCTTATCAAATTTTAATATTAAATTTTTAAAAAAATTAATTATCTAAACAATATAATTACAAATTCTATTATTTTGAATTGATGTATTTTAAAATACTAATATTTCAAAATTCTTCAAAATGAAAAAATTTTCATTCAAATACACTCTTAATTTTTTTTTAAATATACTAATTTCATATGAAAAAAAATGTACATTTAAAATCGTATAAAAAAACTCAAATAAAATTTGAAAATACTCTTTGATCAAATTACAAAAAAAAAAAACATATTTCTTTTTTGAGCCAACCCAAGAAAATAAAGTACAGGTATAATTTTTGTAATTTCCGCAATACCAACAACGAAAAGAAAAGACCCAAAATTTCTCGTCAAGAATGACGATGTCAGCGATGGGAAAGAGCCCTTCACGCTTCCAGCAGAGAATAAATAAAGTTAACACACCCGCACGCAAAATTGACACAAAAACTCACGTATGGTCACGAATTCAGCAGAAGAAAAAAGAAATTAAAGTTTTTTTTTTTTTCGTAGCCCCCCCACCAGCATTACTGCTGGCTAAGGCGACTCTTTTTAGTTTCTTTTACCTTTTGCTGTCTTATTTTCTTAACCCAATCTCGGCGCTGATCTGGTCCATAGGGTGGCGCCACCTACCATAAAGACAATCAATGGTACGGCCCTCCCCCTCCCCCCTCCCTCTAATCTAATCTACTGCTCTTTTTCGGTTATTATTTCATATAATACAAGTCTTCTTTCACTCGAAAATTTTAAATTTTTTTATTTCACTCATTATTATTATTTTTTTTTAAAAATATAATGATTTGTTATAAATGATTGAGAAAAAATTTAAATCTTATATGTGATATTAAAATATGAAAATATGACTTATATTTATTTATTATATTTAACATTTAAAAAATAATAATTTCATTGATGAAATTTAAAATTTTCACATATGTAGTGAATAATTAAAAAAAAGACCATAATTTTTAATTTTCAAAAACTCAAATAAAGTTAATTAATTTAGTTTTATCAATGAACTAAACCGTCAAAAGCAAATAATTTTTAAGTTTCGTATAAATCAAATCATTAATAAGTAAAATTCAAACATCAAATTTTGAGTTAAAAATACATTATTTATCAATAAGACCAAATAATAAGTATTAAACTATAATAATTTTTAAATTCTAAAATAATGGATGCTATCTAGTCACATTTTTGTTTTCACAATATGACATATTTGTTGGATGATACATGTTTTCTTAATTTAACTTTAAAAAAATGTATGTTATATTTAATAATAATTTTATTATATATTATTTGGTAAGTAATTTTATTTTATAGATAGTAGAAGAATAAAAGTGCTAAAGTATCAATTTAATTAGTTATCCATTGTTTTTACAATTAAGATCGTTACTGATCAAATTAAATTTTGATCAGTAAAATTAAGTGTCTAATATTATCAGTTCATTCAAATATTTTTTTTCTATGACCACATTAATTCCAAATTCATTATCGTACAAAAGTAGAAGTTTGTTGTTAATGCACTCAAAGGAGTTAAGGAGAGAAAAACATTCATTTCTTTTTTCATTGACATCTAATTTAATTAGCAATAGTGATAACATATATAATTAATATTTAAATTGAAATCTCAAATTCAATTTCATTCCAAAATTAACTTTTTTTTGACAAAAATCTTTCTATCATTCTATGCTTATAAATTAGAATTTTTTTATTCATTTAAAAAAATATTAGGCTCAAATTTGTCATTATATTATAAAACAATATCGCAAATGTTACCATTATATTTCAATTTCATTGAATTTTATCACTATATTTTTTATTTTATTAAATTTTGAATATTAAAATAATAAAATTAGTAAAAATTTATATTGTATAAGAATAAAATAGGTGAAATTGATGAAATTTGTATTAACCAAATATTTTAATTTTGTTATTTTTATAAAATCAATAAAATTAAAAGTATGATAACAAAATTAAAGCATAAAAAGCATTGTTGAATCTGACAAATTTCACCTTAATTAAAAAAAAACCTTTAGGATAAATTTAATTAGAAAAAGAAAAAGGCTATAATGAGAATTGTTACTCGACAGCTGCAAAATAGTACCACTTGCCGTATTAGCCCAAATCTCGATAGATCCAGTGGCAGGCAGGCAGAGAGATAACTCAAAGCTGAAAGACAGACACAGACAGAGAGCTAAGGCAGAGCTAAAGAAACAGAGTATTTCTCACTCTTTCTTTCATTTCGATACCAAAAATCCATGCCCTATTTTCTCCTCCATTAACGGTCACTACTGTCAATCCGAACTCATTATTATTATTGTTATTACAATTATATTATTATATTCTGTTACGCCCCAGGGGTCTTTCTGATTCTTCTCTTTCTCTTTTTTCACTCTTTCACCCTATGTGCTTTAAATATTCTAAAGAAAAGGCTTTAACGTAACGAAAGAAAAATTCCCATAAACAAGCTTCATGAATTTTGGTTGTTGAATCTGATCTGGGTTTTGGGTTTTTGTTGTTTGGGGGAGGGGAGGGTGAAAAGGAGAGAGAAGGGAAGATGTTAACGTGTATAACTTGTTCAAAGCAGTTAACCGATAACAATGGATCTATTGGGCGCCAACAGGATGAAGATACTTTGGAGACTCCTAGGACTAGGCAAGCCATTAAGGCCCTCACTTCTCAGGTATTGTTATTAGTTACTATATATAAACATTTAGAAATTTGCTTACATGCTTTTGTGTTTGTTTGATGAGAAAATGCGGGAAAAGGCAACTAGGAATATTTGAAGTTCTGCTTCGAACCCAGTGAATTTCATTATAATTTGACTTTGATGGTCTGTTCAGTAAGGCTTTAAGTGACAGAGGACTTTTCTTTTTATATAATTTTCAGATCAAGGACATTGCATTGAAAGCATCAGGAGCTTATAAAAACTGCAAGCCTTGTTCTGGTTCATCAAACCATAACCATAACCGGAACTATTCCGACTATGATGCCGCCTCTGGCTCAGCACGCTTCCATTGCCCTTACCGTAGAACAGGAAACTCGAATTCAACGCCCAGAATTTGGGGCAAGGAGATGGAATCAAGACTAAAAGGACTTTCCAGTGGTGAAGGTACCCCAGCCTCTGTTAGTGGCCGTACAGAATCAATAGTGTTTGTGGGGGAAGATGAGCCTAAGGAGTGGATTGCACAAGTGGAGCCTGGTGTTTTAATCACCTTAGTTTCATCGCCCGAGGGAGGGAATGATCTGAAACGAATTCGATTCAGGTACTTAATTTTGTTATTGGTATATGTGGTATGAAGGTTCTGATCTATTTTGGTGTGATCACATGATTTTTATTTTTGGGATTGAAATGGTAGCCATATTTGTATTATTCTTTGTGGTTTAAAATTTTCTTGTATATCAAATTTCTGGTTTTTAAGTGTTATTATTGTTTTGTTTTGAAATTGTCTCCTTTTAGTTTGGATGCCGTTCTTGGCTCGAGTTTGATATTGAAGGTTTCAATTTGTTGGATAGTGATTGCATGTGGTTAGTGTGACGGTGCTGGGGCCAAGTTCTATGTGATCTTTCCGTAGGCAGTACACTGATTGGTGAATCTAGTGTAACACTAAAGGACTAAAGAAATGTCTTCTTCACATGCATGCTGGTCCCTTTTGTCCTTCAGGGTCTTCACTGGCAAATTTTCATTACTTGATGATAGTGACCAAACAAAGCATTTATTAGAATCGCAAGAAAATGTCCTTTTGTACATCAAGTCATTGCTTTTCAATTAACAGTTGTTCTTTTATGGGCCAAATAATCGTGTGAACCATCTCAATCAGGATACCATTTTCCCTTCTTTTCTTCTTCTTAGGTAGGAACTTTGATGGCTTCTGTTTTAAGCACCAATGGTTTCTAATAATGGGTAATTCACTTCCATCTCATAATTATCAAGAGTGTGTTTGACGGAAGATCATGAACGGATAAGATCATAAATTTCTGGTTGTATGCTAGCTCGTTTGTTATTTTTTTTTTCTCTTTGAAAGTTGCTTCTTTAGCTATTAGGAATGGATATATATATATATATATATATATATATATATATATTGAGATCTCATCTTGCCTGATAATATATATATCAGAAATTTTGGAAGGGAAAAAAGGCACTTGGCTCTATAATTCTGTTAAATTCATTTCAAGGATTATGAAACTTTAATACTGCAATTATCAGCCTCTGCTCTTCTTTTGTTCTATGGTTGCTTGTTGATTGCTTGGAGTGCTGATCTTTCCTTTTGTTGATTTAATCAGTCGTGAAATGTTTAATAAATGGCAAGCTCAAAATTGGTGGTCAGAGAACTATGACAAGGTCATGGAATTATACAATGTTCAACGCTTAAATCGTCAAGCTGTCCCATTTTCAACTCCCCCGAGATCTGAAGATGAAGTAAGCTTCCCCTGAATGTGTTGACTTTTCATTGTCCTTAACATGACTTGGTGAAGTCCTAGTTTTTTTTTTTTTTTTTTTTCTGCTTCATTCTATCTATATTTTAAGTGAACCGTGAAAGACCTTTAGGTTTTACATGGCACTGGGATGTTGATTGGATACTTTCACTATTAGGTCTGAAAGTACCATCCCTTTAAAATAGATGCAATCAGTCCATGATTGAGGATCTTTTCTCTTTGGTTTTATTTTTCAGTCAACTATAGGTTCAACATTTTCAGGGTTTCAAGCAAAATTGTTCTTTGATGTCATCCTGCCCACTTTGGGGTTTATTCCATTCATAAAATGATTGCGGCCCTGTAATTTCACGCAAAGATTACCGTAATCGTCTTTCTTTCTTAGTAAAATGACATGTCCATAAGTTTTTGAGTTTTTAAAATTAGTTTTCGTCCTTCCCTTTCAGGGCTCAAGAATTGAATCTGTGAAGGATAGTCCTGTGACTCCACCCCTGAACAAGGAACGTTCCCGCAACTTTGTCCAGCCAACAGGAATGGGCTATTCTTCATCAGATTCCCTGGATCATCACTCCACACAATCCCGTCAAAACTTTGACTCAAGTGCACTTGTTTCGACGTCAAAACTCTCCAGCATTAGCGGAGCCAAAACTGAGACATCATCGATGGATGGCTCTGTTAGAACTAGTTCATCGAGAGAGGCAGATCGCTCTGGAGAGCTCTCCATCAGTAATGCTAGCGACATGGAAACAGAATGGGTTGAACAGGATGAACCAGGAGTTTACATCACCATTAGAGCACTTCCAGGTGGCACTCGGGAGCTCAGACGTGTCCGCTTCAGGTATGTGGTTTCTTCGACATAGAGAGGATAGGTGGATTAAAGGTCAAAACTGTTAACATAGTCTTATACTAACTAGGTTTGCATTTTCTTGGTTTGGGACTTTAGAATGGATGGGAACAAAAGCCAAACTGTTATTTTCATTCTATGTTTCCTTGCTCATTGTTATTAACGGGTCATTCGTTCTTGGCTAAGAAGGTAGCTTAAAGCCATTCCTTGTAGGCTTTTCTAGTAGTAGTCTTAAACTCTAAAATTGAGATTTGAGGCCAAGGCCTTATTTGCAAAAGAAAAATGCTGAAGTGTCTGATATTCAGACTGTCCGACTACTCATAAATTATGGATAAACAGCTTGAATGGGGTATGTTCAGTCTTAAGTGTGCCATAGACCACTCAGCATTCAACTGCAACGAAGCAATGAGACTTGATAATAGTTTAACCGTGCCAATTACTAAGAGTACAACCAACCCATCCTGGCTTTATTTATTCATGCATTATGGTCCATGAATTAAGTTCTGATTAGAGGGTTTTCTTTTACATTTTGACTTTTTATAATTAGCATTGAGTTATATAATATCCAGTGAAGGACTGGGACAATCCTGACAGAAGCAAACAATTTCACTCTCCTATAAGATTTAGTTTGGTCCAATTGGAGTGCAAACAGCTTCCCTAGTGCATATGGAGTGAATGAATGATCCAAAAATCTAAGCCTTCTTGTTGCTAGTTTGACTCACGATGCTGGTCCCCTCACCTCCCAGGTTCTCCTGCTGTGAATTCCCCATCCCCTAGTGTCATCCGAGACTCTAATTTTCCGATTCTCCATGGCCGCAACAGCAGCAGACAGCTTAATATTTAATTCAAGCATTGTTTTATAGTAATAAAATCATTATTGTTCCTTTGTATGTGTGCTGCAGCCGAGAAAGGTTTGGAGAAATGCATGCAAGGACGTGGTGGGAAGAAAATCGAGCCAGGATACAAGAACAGTACTTGTGAGATTTTAGCAAATCAATGAGATAGTGGCATTTGGAAGTTTTGTCTGCTTTTTAACAAGTGGTGGTAGACAATTCTGTGTGCCTGGGCACAACTAATCACAAAGCTTACATGTATTAACTCTGCATATTTTTCTACTTAGATATATCATCAAACAAATCTTCTTTCTTCTTTGTTTCTCTCTTTTCCGCCCACATTTGGTTGGATGCAATTGTTGGGTGTTTTGGAGTCTGACAAATTGGTGCAGAAATCGAAAAGATGAAGAGAAATGCTAGTTAAAATAATGTTTATTTTTCATTTTCGCTCTTTCATCTAATTCTTATAAGCGGCTGTATTTTATTTATAATTTTATGATTGTTCAATTATAATAAATAATTATATAAAGGTCTAACGTTTATAAATGTAGATTTTATATAAAATTTTGATGAAACTTACATAAATTTTAATTATAATTACTTAATTGTGATATAATTTTTATACTTGAAAGGGTGGTGCATTTACTATTTCACATAGAAGAATGAAGGTGGAAACAACTTGCTAGGTAAAGCCTCACGTTTTTGTTGCAGCCCAAACTTGATGGATCCATGTTCTGTTCTCTTGGGCTCTTATTGTTGCAATACAGCATTTGATTCCACTCCCAGCTTTCTTCTGCTAGAAACGGGGGTTAGCCCAGTTGTTTCACAAAGAACTTCCAAAATACAAGCACACAAACTCAAGGACAAAACCGCGAGAAATTCAAAACTTTAGGGCAGATCAGTCATTAGGCAGATCCCGAATTAGGACCCGAATTTCTACCAAGTAAAAACGTTTTCAAAACCCTCGCTCCCAAACCTCTCTTTTTCTCTCTCTAAAGCCGTTCTTCACTCTCTTTCTCTCCCTAAATACAAACCCTAGCTCTTATCTTTTATAGGGTTTTAATAGTAATAATAATAAAATAATCAAAGAACCCTCTTTATATTCAGAATAGAATTTGGAATTGTATTATCAAAACTGGGTTTTTTGTTTAAAAAAAATAGTGTGGAAAGCGAGAAAGTCTTTTGCTTTTTTTTTTTCGGAGTAATTTGAAACAAAGAGAGAGGGAGAGAGATGGTAAGCGGGGCAAGAGTCGAAGGATATATCTCACCGCGAGTAAGGAAGACAATACAGTCAATTAAGGAAATAGTCGGCAATCACTCTGATGATGATATCTATGTTGCCTTGAAAGAGGCCAACATGGATCCTAATGAAACTGCCCAGAAATTGCTTCATCAAGGTAACTTAAAACCCTTTATTGTTGGTGTTTAGGGAAATGGGTTTTGTTTGCTTTGTAGTGGCTTTAAGTGTCGCGAGTTTGAAGTCAAGATTGTTCTGGTTCAAGTTGCGCTTTCTTTTGGGTTTGTTTGTAGTGTTTTTTTATTGTGTTTTTGGGTATAGGCTATTTTGGTTTGTGTTAGTTGGAGTGTGAAAGTTGATTATTGTTTTATGAAGAAGGTTTAATGCCTGATGATTAGCATGCTGAGAATGTAGTTTTTGCTTGTTTGGTGATATTTCTTTTAGTCTTTAGCTTTGCCTTGGTGCTCTTCTTTTCGTTATACTAGCTGCATTTTGCTGAGTCTGAAAGATCTTGTGTTAATTCTTCTTTTTGTTGCAGTAGGTCATTTTGCCTTGGTGCTATTCTTACATTTCGGTGTTTTGAGCCTGCTGATTAACCATCAATCAATTTTTTCTAGAACTTTGTCTGGTTGACTAGATATAGTTGGGGGGGGGGGGGATAGTAAAGTATTAAGTATGATTAGTACAACCCAGAAATCAAAACCTCCGCATAAAAGGTTGATTGAACTGTTTAGTTTGGTTAAACCCTCTGGACAGAGATAGCAATAAAGGTATAATGTTATGGTAATTACTGTACTAATTTACAATCATTGGTCAGTGATTTTGATGCATGACAAGTAAGCAGCTTATCTTTGTGTATGTCATACAATTGGCATTATGATCGTCATTGACTTGTTTCTGAGCTGATTTCTTGACATTATGACATTGGATAGACTTGATGATTATGTCTGTCTAATGCTTCATGCCATGCCATGCATAGTGAACGAGTGACCCAGGGATGTTCACACCTGGAATAGTTGGACATTTTAGCATTTTTCCTCCTTTTGTTAATTACCATTGTTAAGAGGGGATTGGTTGTGTTTTCTGTTGTTTAGGCAACTTTCATTAAATTGGTAAATTGGTAAATTGGTCAACAGAAGTCATCAATCTTAGGCCTTGTATGAGTTCTCAAAGTTGATAATTTCTGTTTTCCCTTTTGGATATGCTGTGGTTTCAGATTGCTTCTTTTGTTTAAGATGATATTTCAAATGTACTTTTATTGATGTTTCTTATTTACATCCAGTCTCATTTTTTCTTCTCAGATACATTTCATGTAGTAAGGAGAAAAGGAGATAGGAAGAAAGAGGTATAATCTTGTATATTTACTACTTTGGTCTTTGGTGAATCTTTTTTGTGTGTTACTTACTTTCTTTTGCAACAGAGGGCATTGTGCATATTTTTATCTTAACTTTGGTTGTTGATTTTCCCACATTCTCATTATTTGATAGGTGCCTCTGTTTTTATATTCTTAGTCGTGTGATATTGTTCTGCTATTAATTTATCCTGTGATATTTATGCATTTCATTGATCTTGTATCCATAGTAATTGATATATTGTTAATCACTTGAATTCTTATTACTTGCTGTATCTTGAAATGTGAATCCACTAGAGGAGTTAATGTACAGATGCGAAAACTTGTTCTGATCTGACATTTCATTATGATAGAGCATTGGGTACCAAGTTACCATGGATCCAAGAAATCATTCTGAGAATGTTGGTCAAGGGATGAAATTTCGTACGTATCCTGAACGTGGTTCTCAAAGAGGAGTCTATACTCGGAATGCTTTGCCTGGTAATGCAGTGAGATAAGATGTTTAAATGACCTTTATTTTTTGGCAAGTTAATGCTTGATTATGTAGTCTCTTGAAGCTAAACATTATACTGCCCCATGTTCAAGGAGTGATGAATTAAAGTTAGGATTTCTTAAGTTTCTTTAACGATTTTCGTCGTTGTTAATCTGGTACAAAGTGATTTTAAAGTTGTCTATGAAGATGGATATTAGTGAAATTAGTGATTGTAATGATTTGCACTATTATATAATACTCTTTTTATATTGATTTCTAATGTCTTAGATTTGCAATTTGCACAATATGCTGATCTGGCGAGGTTTTCCTGGTGCCTTTAAGAGTTCAAGTCTTGTTAATCCATCCTTCCATGAAATCCCACAGCTTTAGGATTTTTTTTTTGTATTTTATATAAATTTTACCCATGTAATGTGTGTTAGTTTTTCTTGTCTAGTGAACTGTAATTCAATTGCTTTGGTTCCCATCTACTTCTACATAAAGTCTTCTGCTGATTATTGACGATCTTGAGGCACTTTTAACCTTTTTCTGCTATTTAATGAATAGTTCCTTACTAGATGCAGGAGTCAACAGAGAGTTTCGTGTAGTAAGGGACAATAGAGTTAATCAAAATGCAAATAAAGATACGAAGCCTCCTTTCCTGCAAATCTCAACTTCTGGAAATGAGCAAGTGCCCATGAATGTTGCTGAAAAGGGGTAATGTCTATTTGGCAGTTATTTATTTGCTGTTCCACTCTAAGCCTTTTTTTCTCTGGTTTCTTTTGCACCTGTATTTACTGATGTTGTAGTCCTTGTGAAATAGAGTGCTCCAAGTGTTATACTTTTTATTACCATTCTGCAGTTCAACCGGAACACCAAGCAATCAGAGACCTCGGAGTTCATCTCAAACTTCAAATGCACCATTCAGTTCAAAACTGAGACATGCTCGGGTTGCAAATTCAAGTGGTATTGATAGGAAAGAATTGGAGGAAAAGCAAACTTTTATACCTAATGCTGTTTCTCGGTCACTGGCAGTGAAGCCCGATTATACTCAAGCACATTCTGCCACTCAATCATCAAGCAGCTCGGTTGTTGGGGTTTATTCATCCTCTACTGATCCTGTTCATGTTCCTTCTCCTGATTCTAGATCATCTGCTGCTGTTGGAGCTATTAAGCGTGAAGTTGGGGTTGTGGGTGTTCGCCGTCAGCGTTCTGAAAATGCTGTCAAAGATTCAACTGCAGCAAGTGGTTCTCTCTCCAATTCACTTGTAGTGAGGGACACTTCATCAGAGGCATTTCGACCTTTTCCTGCAATTTCTAGAGCAGACCAGCTCAGCCATAATAGTGCAACTGAATCTGTCATGCCAGGGATTTCTAGAAGCAGGTCATTTATGAGCAATCAGTATGGGAGCAGGCAACATCAACAAGTGTTAGGTCATCAAAAAGGTACTCCCTCTTGACTCGAAGCATCCATCTAATAAGCTGCCCTTTTTGTTGGTCAAGGGGTAGGTTTGATATGATTATTATACTTATCTATAAAATGTTTTCCTGGGTATTCCTTCTCACTTGTATATTAGACAGATGTTTAAATAACATGTATTTACAAAAATATTAGAGAAAAAAGTATCTAAAGTAAAGTGTAACTCATTATATGGTGGTTATTGCCATGTTATGTGGCTTTGATGCCTTTCTGTTATTATTGTTACTTAATTATTTTTATTTTTATTATTATTATTATTTTGCAAGTAAGTTTCTGTTGTGTTAAAAAGAACCCAAATACAGTTTTTTTTTTTTTTTTTCAGTTAATTTTAAGCTTCTTGTAAGTGTGATGAACTTCTGTGTATATCAAGGTTAATATTTAAGAATGTAAGACACAATAAACCAGTGATAGATTTAGATATCAAGTCAACTCATCTTCGTGTTACCTTAGAAGCTTCTTATTATGGTACTTTTCGTCTTTTTGTTGACCAAGTTAGGTTTTATTTTGTTTCTTTAAACTGCTATTTTAGCAAATGGCTGTCAGTAGATAGTAGTTATTATAGCACTTGTTTTCAACTTGTTTCTGAAGTTTTTGCGAGAGTTTATCATGCATATTTGATGCAGCTAACCAACATAATAAAGAATGGAAACCAAAATCAAGCCAAAAGTCAAGTGCTAATAATCCTGGAGTTATTGGTACACCTAAGAAGTCTGCTTCACCTCCTGCTGATGATGCCAAGGACATGGATTCAGAAACAGCTAAATTGCAAGATAAGTTTTCTCAAGTAAATATCAATGAGAATGAGAATGTTATCATAGCACAGCACATTCGAGTCCCAGAGAATGAACGCCGTCGACTTACTTTTGGCAGCTTTGGAGTGGAATTTGATTCGTCAAGGAATTTTGTGCCTGATTTTCAAGTCACTGGTGTTGCAGAAGACTCAAATGGGGAATCTGCTGCTAGGTTGGTGTTTTCTCCCAAGTAATTACTTACATTCGATAGGGTCTAAAGTTAAAAATTTGTTCTTCAGTTCATATTCCTTGTTTCTTATGGTTTACTTATATTTGATCTAAGCAGTTTGTCTGTGTCTGCTCCCAAAACTTCCTGTCATGCTGCTGGTGGTGGCAATCCCATTGACACTTTAGATGATCAACTTAGAAATTCTGGATCTGATTCTCCACCTTCTGGTACTGCATCTGAGCATCAATTGCCTGATAAGAAAGACACTTCAAGTCCCCAGAATTTGGACAGTTACGCCGATATAGGAATGATCCAGGACAACAGTCCATCCTATGCTCCTTCAGAGTCACAGCAGCAGCAGGATCCTCCTGAGTTACCTAGTTTTTCGGTAAGTATAATCTTATGAATAATGACAGGTGTCATAAATTCAAACCTTTAATCTTGCCTGAACAAATATTTATAAAATTTATCAGTTGGTGTGTTTCTGATATAAGGCAATTTTGAAATTTGGAATAAATACTGTTTTCTTGATTGCTCCTTGCAATGGAATGTTCTGATGCGGTGTTGGCTTGATAGCAGGCATATGATCCCCAAACTGGTTATGATTTTCCATATTTCAGACCCCCAATAGATGAAACCGCGAGAGGACAGGGTCTACCATCCCCTCTGGAGGTTAGTGTCAGTAACATGCATTTAAGAAGCAGTATTCATTTCAAAACAGGTTTGTTTGTTTTTATCACTGGAATTGATGCAGATTCTAATGGTAATTAGGCCTTAAGCATGCATGCTGCGAACATCCCTGCATCAACAATACCAATGGTGCAGCAGCAACAACCACCAGTAGCGCAGATGTATCCTCAAGTTCATGTGTCCCATTTTCCTAATCTTATGGCATATCGTCAGTTTGTCTCCCCAATTTATCTACCACAGATGGCGATGCCAGGTTATTCCAGTAACCCTGCTTATCCGCACCCATCGAATGGTAGCAACTATGTGCTCATGCCAGGAGGTAGTTCTCATCTTAATGCAAATGGCCTCAAGTATGGAATTCAGCAGTTCAAACCACTTCCTGCTGGTAGTCATGGGTTTGGAAATTTTACCAGTCCCTCTGGGTATGCGATCAATGCTCCTGGTGTAGTCGGGAATGCAACAGGTCTTGAAGATTCATCTCGGATCAAATATAAAGATGGCAATATCTATGTTCAAAATCAACAGGTATATAATTGTTCTTCACTCCAATAGCCTGTAGTATGAGCCACTGATCAACTAAATATTGAGGCATTAGTGACTGTGAATTGAGGATTCTTGAATGTCCTGTTGTATCTGGTTTTGGGTTGTGTAGATGTTCTACCACAGCAACATGGTGTCTGCTCATCTGCTTAAAAGAAAAGTTCCAACCAGTATGAAAAAAGTAATGCGCATTATAATAACTAGGATATGTTTGATTCTTTAAAGATTTTCGAGTGATTGACATTGGTGCTTGCAGCTGAATTAGATAGTGAAACCCTGAAATATCACAACCATAGACTGGTTTAATGCTCTTTATTGAGTCAGGTCATTCGTGTTTTGCTTTGGCTGCTCTTCATTAATTTTTCATCCGTTATTTTTAATGCACCCATAGTCACTGTTCATACATTTGGAGTCCACAATCATTGACTGTCCCCCCACAGATATGAATTATGATATGGAATATATTGAAAAGTAATGCACAAAAAAGCAGCGGAGAGGTACTCACCCATGAGTTTTGCAGTTTGGTTTTTACATTTTGTTGAGCATTTGACTTTGTTATTTGTTGAGTCATGATATCAAAATTGAGCCTGTTGGACGTATAATTGATTATTGCCAACTACGGTGTGATATATCTTCACTTGCCTCACGCACAATGAGTTTCTGTAATTCTGCATGTGTTTCTTTGGTTTGATGAAATGTTCTTTTGTCTGTGCTGTGTATAGTTTTTATTCAGTTGGTGAGTTTGATTGACTTGGTCTTTATGCTAACTGCATTGTCATTTGACAGGCTGATGCATCAGATCTCTGGATTCAGAACCCGAGGGAGCTATCGGGCTTGCAATCCGCTCCATACTACAATATGCCACAAACACCTCATGGTTATATGCAATCTCACACAGGCCATGCATCTTTTAGTTCTGCTGTGCCACAATCTTCTCACATGCAATTCTCAGGGCTGTACCATCCTCCACAGCCTGCTGCAATGGCAAACCCACATCATCTAGGTCCTGCCATCGGTGCTAATGTTGGTGTTGGGGTTGCTTCAGCTGCTTCTGTGGCTCAAGTAGGTGCTTACCAACAGCCTCAATTGGGTCATCTTAACTGGACAACAAACTTCTGAATGGTGTCAACCTAACCCTTTCTCTTGTAATAGAGTGAAGTAGCTATAGAAATTTTAAGTTTTCTTTGTGAAACAACCCGCAATCATTTTAATTCAATACATAATTGGTGTTTAATCTCTTCCTGTTTTTATTAAATTGCACTAAGCTTGAAATAAAAACTTGAACAAGATGATCTTCTGTCCGGGTCATGCCAAATTACGAATCATGCTACTGTAGCTGCGAAAATGGATTTGGTTCACTTGGTAACTTATTACACACTGGACTCAATCACCTAAGCTTTACGTAGGTCATTAACGCGGGGATATACATGCATGTGCTGTTGTCTTTTTCATCCTTCTGTTATTTTTGAAGGGTCTGTATTGCAGCAAAGATTCTTTCATGTTATTTTTGTTGGAGGGAAAAAGGGAAAGAACAGGGAGTCACTGCTGGGGGCTTTGTGTGTGTGTGTGTGTCCGTGTGTGTGTGTGTCTGTGTGTCTTTGTGTAGAGGTCGTAGGTATAGGACTCTGTGCTTTATGCCTTGGATTGCAAACACATTAGCTGCCCCATTGCCCTTCCCTTGCCTATGCGGCTCTGCATGTCCATCAGCTTGTATGATTGGCCTTCCAAGCGTCACCCGCCCATTTAAGACTAAGCACGTAGCTGGAAGCCCCCACTCCTTTTTCACTTCCTTCTTTTTCTTTACCCACTTTTTCCTTTCATTTTCTCCTAGCTGGAGGAATAATCTTTCCTTTATGCTTTATCTCCTACCAATGCCAATGCCTTTGCTTTCTTTCCATTTGGATTTAAATTCTTACACCTACTTGTCTGCCAACTTTCCATCTTAATTTAATTACGTCTACTTTCATTACATCACCCTAACTCATTGCGAACAGAATCTCTCCCAGCAAATTAACCATTTTCAAAAAAAAAAAAAATTCCTTCCATTTCATATTTGACAGCCATTGACATTTTCTTCACTCTTAACAAAGAATCTACTTGCCACAGGAGCTTCTTGATATGGATTTTGAGTGTTGAGTTATGAATTTTTCCTGCTTCAAAAATGGACTTCAAATTAAGTTTTTATTCAATTATACATTGATATATATTTTTTAAATTAAAAAAATTCGAACCCCATTTTTTAATATAAAAATACATAAACTTGTATTGTTAAACAAAACCTCACGCATCGCAATTATTATTATTTTTTTATTTTAATGCATTCCAGTTCAAGGTAGAGGAGAAAATTAACCCGGAAACAGTTGCAGGTGTCAACCCGACGGTGCGTATGTCAGGTGGTAGAATTTGTGTGATGGTTTCCACTTTCCACCGGCGTTTCACGTGTGAATTGGCATTATATGCTAAAAAGTTTGATTAAGGAATTAAAGCACGTAATCATTGGGGCTCGTGCTAGCTTTATTTCTATAAATAATTAATTTCATATCATGCTGTGATATGCATGCTTTATGATTTTGATTAAGATGGAGAACGGATCAGATTGAAATATATTTTTGCTCATTTCGAATATGATTTGATTTAATAATAAAAAAAATAAATATGATTTTATCTTATTTTTTAAAATTTTTTATATTTAAATTTAAATTTAATTTAATATTATATAAATTATATTTGATTTGATTCGATTTAAAATTAATAAAATATTATTTTTTAATATAAAATATTATTTTTAAAATATAAATATATAATTATATATAAATAAAAATTAAAAAATAATTTTTAATATAATATCGGATCGGGTCAAATTTACCTAAAATCAACCCGATCCGAATATGATTTTTTTTAATAATATTCGATCCGATTCGATTTAAAATTTAAATTAAAAAAAAAATTAACCTTATAAAATCTAATAAAAACCCGTTGAACTCAAATTTAACTGTTAACCTTAATTTTGATTCACTCCTTTTTTTTAGTCGTCTTACGAAGCTTTCCGTACGCTATGTAGCCCTTTCAAAACCTCAACTTAAATTCTTATTCAATTGTTGATTAATAGAGAAACAAAGCTAAACCTAAAGTTTAAACATTGGCTTTTTTTTTTTTTTTTTGATTGAATGATGTCTGCCCTATCTATATTCCACTTTGCATCCTAATTCATCATGATTGGTGATCATTGTTTTACACAACACGATCTTACCCTTTTAATGGCAGTTAGGGTTTAGCATGTTCATTATGAGCCAGTTTAATTGATTTAACATCTATAAACAGAGTGAAATTGATCAAAACCAAATAATGGTTAATTGAATTTGATTGTAGTTGCTTGTTGACATGTTAATTTTGCATCACTTAGGTTATTTTCTTTTTTATCAATCAGAATTCGATTTCAAAGTTAATAAATGCACTAAATCGATGTAAATTTTTTTTAAAATAATCCAAAGAAGAGATAAATTTGAGTTTAACTTTGAGTTAATTTTAAATTTTATCGATCGGTAAAAAGTCAATACATAAAAGTATAAAAAAAAAGTCAATATATAAAAATATAACCTAAAGTATGATCTCAATCCTACAAGTTTGTAATAGCCAAAAGAAATCCTGTATCTAATGAATTAATTATTCAATCATACTATATTAGCTTCAGTTTGTTTATTTGTTTGTTCGTTTGTACCTTTTCAAGGCTGTACCAATCAATTAATTCATATAAAATCTGAAACTGAAATTTAGTGTCCATTATAAAATTCACTGTTTGATTTGTGTTTCTTATCTCTGAAGCCACTCTATTGCTTGAATCATTAAAAAAAAAAAAGAGGAAAATAATAGACCACCTCAAGGTGCGTAGAGTTAGGGTGTAATCGATCGACTTTGAGTTGATATAATATTAAGCTTGAGTTTGAGTTTGATTCAAAATTTAAAATTTGATTAGAATTTGATCGAGTTTTTTTTTAGCTCGAGATCGACTTAATATATAAATTAAGCGATTCGATCTCGTTCGATTATGTTCGATTAACATGTAAAAATAAATTTAATTTTTATATTTGATAAAAATTTGATTATTTATGTTCGAACTCGAGCTCGAATTTTAGATATTTTATTAATTAAAATAATAAAATATATTAAAATATAAAAATTCGATTAGATTCGTAAGCTATTCTAGTAAGGTATAAAAATATTCGAACACTACTTGATCGATAAATTGAGTTACTTAAATTCGAACTTAACTTGATAATAACCGAGCAAAATTCGAATTTTATTTGAGTCGAACCCGAATAATTTACAAGTACTAATATATCATTTACACCTCTAAGTAGAGCTATCACACGTAAATCTAAACGTAATTTTAAAAATTATTTATTAATAAGATTGTATGATATTTGATTCACCTTATTAATAAAATAATATCATTTAATTTATTGATAATATTTAAAATTTATACAATAATAATACATTAAATATAAACTCTAATAAATTAATGAGTTTTGTAATTTATCAAATAATACATTAATTAAGATAAAAAAAGATTAAAGATGGGCCAGAGCGATCAATCTAGGGTTTCAATTAATTAGAAAGCAATGGTTACAAGACCCACACCACAAATAAAGATCCAAAAGAAATGATGAAACATGGTCCTTCATCAATTCAAAACCATCCTTTCCAAGTATACATGCAGGGACACTTTAAGTTGTGGCCACGAGGCTCACTATCTTTTCTTCTTTGTAATTGATGATGATGATGAATTTGCATGCATTTCGAAAGCCACCTAGATGACAATCCTAGACATCAAGTGATCAGCCTACACCACACCACCTCTTAAGTGAGTCATGCCATCGCCAATAGGTTGCAACCATATCTTTTTCTTTTTGATTTTTCCTATGTTTTGATAGAGAGTGTAATCTTTAATCTATATTATTATTATATATAGCAAAATTATACGATGCTACTCATGCTTATGAGATTGAAATATTTTATTTTTTAACATTCTTTGGTGGGATGACAGCAGTGGAAAAATGGGGGTAAACAACTTTTTTCCTTGTTAGGGCACGTCAATGAACAATATTTGGTTGGATTTTTTGGTCCTCAAAAATTGGTATTCGTTGATCAGAACGGAATCTCTCGTCTTTCATTTTATTCACATCAGCCCCCCCCCCCCCCCATGGAATCTCTCGACCTTTTCTGCACAAACCTAATCGATATATATGTACGTAGCACTATCTCTAAGAAATTATGCATCTCATGTTCTATAAAGAGCCATTATATATAGCTCTTTCGTTACCTTAGAACTGGGGAAAAATAAAAGGGAGAATAATATTAAATCATAGTTCTATTGAAACTTGATGGTGATCATTATATACTTTGTTTCTCCTATAGTGTAAATTTAAAGCCTTTGTCATTGTATAAAAGTCCATAATATAATTGGTGGCAAAGGAAAAACAATGAAGTTTCTCCAATGGGACCTCTTATTAGTATTTAAAGTATAAAATTTCAAGTTCAAATTTTGAATAGTTGAGATGAAATTTACGGGATGAGAGAGTACTATTCTTTCATTGTGTAATTCTATATACAAAAAAAAAAGTATTTTTATTGAAATTACTCTACGACAAATAGGGATATATATACATAACAAGCAGGACATTGAATTCAATCTTGGATTTATTTATGGGTTTTACACAGATCTCGAAGGCGAGTATACGGCTAAGCCAAAGGTTTGGATTTATGATTTATTTTACGTTTATTCATGCTTGGCGGTAACTGTACATTTGTGCAAAATAAATGCATATAGCGCTAGCTAGCTAGCTACCCAAATGGAATATTTGTTTATATATATATATATATCGAAACTTGATGATGTGGTGTTGTGCAAAGATGCGATCGAATACCATAATGAATGGAGAAATTTCGTGTGTTTGAAGGGAAAGAGAGAAAAAAGGAGTACATGGGGGGAAAAGGGATGATGAGAAGCAACCCACGTTTGCTTTCTTTGGAACCTTTTCTATCCAATTTATAATTATATCATTTTATATACACCTAATCTAATCTCTTTTTTTTTGTTCTCTTTCATCACACTCATTTTTTTGTCGTAATCCTTTCTTAGTTTTATCAAATCACATTTTGTTTTAGTTTAGCCTCCTAAGCCACCCCTCTTCGTAAAGTTTAGGAGCCACGAGTGTAATCATTGTACAAATAAGCACCATATCCCCACATCGAACATGCTGATCTCTTGATTTAATTTCTTTTGATCCCCAAAACCTAACAAAATTTTTTTGCCAACAAAATGAGTTCAGAGACGTCTATAATTCAATATAAAAGAAACTGAATAAAATCCCTTTCTTTGTCATTGGCATTGCTAACTATTGCCAAATCTCCCATATCTTTATGGGAATTGGGATGCACTATTTTAATATGACGTTGCATTTGCAGGGATGGGCGCTCAAGGAAAAAGATCCTGTAAATGCATGAATCGTCTCAACAGCTCATCCAAGGTGTGTTAGCCACTAGTTAGGCATGCATCCATTAGTTATCATCGGCTATGAATATGCTTGAAAACCAATGTCATGGATGTATGTGTATGAATGCATGTATGCATGTGTGTGTGTATATATATATATATATATATGCAGTATATGAACATTCAGGGGATTGTGAGTTTGTCGTATTGTTCTGTGAACTGATCTCAAACTGTTGACTTATTTGGCACTAACTTAAATGCCAATGATGAATGATCATCATTCTAATACTAAAGTTAATCAAAGTCTAATTGTTTCCATGAGATCATAAAAAGAAACAAAATCTAGCAGATTCTATAAATTAAAAAAAAATTCTAGCAAGAAATTATGATTTTCAAGAGCAATAATTGAAAAACTTTGTCTACCATCTAATAGGGATTGCTCCACTGGGCAGCAAATTTGACATGCATAAAAGGACCAAGAGTACCCACCAATATAGCAGAAATGGTTTACTAATAACAGAAAAGAAACATGGTATATGATTTTCCTTAGTTGCCAATGAAATGGACTGTGTTTTTTTTGTCAATTAGTGAAATTAATTAAGGCAGTGTTGACTATATCAACCACATAATTATATTTCATGTTCACTGCTTAAGGGTCATAAAAATGGTGATCATCTTTGTAAATTATGATATCATAAACTGATTATGCCTTTTATGTTCATTCCCTGTTCAACATATCAGCTGCATAATTATATTGCTGATTTGCTAAAGAATTGGGATTAACATATAATCATAAAAAGGTTATAGATATATGCTGATCATCACTGTAATATTGTAATACAGTAAATCAGATCACAACTTCATTTTCCTAATCTCCCATTTGGTATTTCTTTTCCTAACTATTCAATTGTTATACATGTTTCTCTAGCTTAATATATGTTCCCATTAACTGATCGCCTAGTCATCTGGGACTCGCATTATGAAAAAATAATTCTAGTTTTTAGCTTATTCAATGAATAGATATCAAAGTTTTTAAAATACATCGGGTAAATGCTCGAAATTCTAGCATTTGAAAATAATAGAAAGATTATAAATGTTAACATTTAAAAAACTAACTGAACTAAATTTTATGTTTATACATCGTATATTGATGTTGGATGCTATCTCTTAAAAATAATTGTATGAATAATTAAATTAAATTTTAAATTTATGAATCGTACTTTATGACAAAATTAATTATCAATGATATTCCATTTAATACTACAATAATAATACTATAATAACTATATTTAGATGTACATTATTGAAAATCTTCAATAATATTGGAAGTATTTTAAATGTGACAATAAAAAGAATAGAATTGAACCACCTGGAAAATGACTAGTACTGTTTGCTAATAATTCTTAATAAATAAGGTCAGTGTAAACATAAAATTTAGGGATGTTGACCTCTCTTGATCGGTCTTCACTCTTCACCACTCGCCCCAATCGAATCAAAAACTTCATATCCCATTTATTTGAATACTCAAGGGCACAGCATCATTGCACTTCATCAGATCGTTTCATTATCTTTTGCAAGGTCAAAATATCCAATGAGCCGCATTAGTTTGACTATGGAGCCATAGCTAGGCAAAGGCAAGGACAAAAATGCTTTCACAACATAATTGCTTCAAATCTCTATATACTATCTAGATTGGCTCCAAACTTGGAATTTATTTTTATACAAAAGAGCCAAAGCCTAAACAAATTGGAGAAAAAAATAGTAAGTCAGATTCAAATTCAAACTTATGAAAATTTATTATTTAAAAAATATAAATAAATCATTCAAGTTAAGTCTCAAACTCAAAGATTCATGCTATAAAATTAAAATTTATTGAATAATATACTTGTATTGTTCTTTACCTAAAAGGGAAAAAACTTTTAACTGTATATAGGTGAAGAGATTTTGAACAATTGTCTTGCAATATGCCTGAGTGATAATTTGGAAGGTTGAGAAAGTATTGATTTCTTGTACTAATTTAAAGGGAAAAAAATTAAAATGGACCCTGCAGATCAATCTTGGCTTTGGTGTTAGGATCAACATAACATCTTCTCTATGCAAATCTAACAATCATGATCATGCACATTAATGAGATTTATCTTTCTTTCATTTTGATCTTTATCTTTTGAAAGGAAAAGCAAAAATATGAGGTTACTTCATGTAAGGAGGGAGAGGCAAAATGGGGTGTAATTAAAAACACAAATAAATTTAATTAAAGGCCAAGAAAGTTAACATGATTAACTTATTAATTAATTTACCACATCATCATTCCAACCTGGCATTGGTTCCAGCTAGGACCCACTTGCCCAAGTGTAAGGATTTATAAGAGCGTGTGAAAGAGAGAGACCTGAAAAAAAAAAAAAATCTCTCTTTCTCTGTTTCTCTCCTCTTCAGGCGTGGATTTTGCCTTTCATTACTCTCTCTTTTTTTTTTTTTGTTTTGTGTTTCTCTCTGCTTGTATATGGAAGCCATCAAGAACCCATCAATGAAAATGTCTGCTTTCTTTTTTTCATAAGCATTTTTTCTTTTTTTTTTTCTACAGAGAGAAAAAAAGAAGATAGAGAGAGAGCTAGAGAGCCGGCCAGTCTTTGTCTTCAAAATGTCTCTTTGTTTGTTTCACATAATTAATCTTGGACTCATGGTTGCTGCCATTAATCTCTTTCTCTTTCACTTGTATCCAGCTTTTGAAACTCTTTGAAACAGACAAGAAAAAGCAAACAATATCATTTAAATCCCACTACTGTTCGATTCTTGTTTCACCTCATTCCTCAACTTCTTTTTTCTTTTTAGTTTTCTCCCTATAAAGCCATGGATATGTGGGATAAACTTCCAAGAGAAGGTCGGTATAGAAACAGGAGAGAAAACCCATCTTTCTCCTCAACTCTTCTTGACGCTATCTACCGTTCAATTGATGAATCCAACGGTAGTCAAGGAGAGGAAGAGCTGATTTTTTACCGAGAGAATACCATGAGGAAGAAGCACAGCAATAACAGTTCATTGACAGAAGAAGAAATGACAAGCCTTCAACGTGCTCGCGTGATCGAGAAATGGATGGAAAAGAAAATTAGCTGTGATAATAATGTTGTCATTAGACGAAAATCCATGGCGGATTCTGAAAGAAACTCTCGAAATGACTTTGATGCCATGTTGCTGTACTCGAGCTCCAGCTCTTCTGATTCTAGCAGCGGTGGTGGGGTTTCATCCTCAGAGTCAGATTCCTTTTATACTTCAAAATCAAGGTCATCATCTTCATCATTAAGTCATTACACTACTCATAGGCCTAAGCCTATAAGGACGAGCGTCTCAGCTCCGTCTGAGAGATATGAAAGGCCTCAACATGAAGTTGAAAACAGTTCCCATACTGCCACACAAAAGCCAAAGCATGAAGGTGGTTTTGTAAGAACAAAATCCAAGGCCTTGAAGATTTACAGTGACCTCAAAAAGATTAAGCAGCCGATATCTCCAGGTGGACGGCTTGCAAGCTTCCTTAACTCGATTTTCAATGCAGGGAATGCAAAGAAGGTAAAGATTTCATCGTCAGGGTATGAGGAAAGAAAGTTAAAGTCTGAGCAAGCTACATCAACATGTTCTTCAGCTTCATCGTTTTCAAGATCCTGTTTGACCAAGACTCCATCTTCAAGTGGGAAGTTAAGCAGTAATGGGACGAAAAGGTCAGTCAGGTTTTGTCCTGTTAGCGTTATTCTTGATGAGGATTCCAGGCCATGTGGTCATAAAGACATCCTCTACGAAAATGATCATCAAACGTCCAAAGAGCTTGAGCACTTCCGCATCATGAAAGAAAATCGTCGAGTTGTGGAAGTCGCAAAGGATCTTTTAAAGAGTTACCAGAAGAAGAAGGAAGAGTATGATACGGGAGATATCTGCGATGGCAATGAAGAGTCTAGTGTTGATGAAGACAATAACGAAGAGGAAGACGCAGCTAGTTATGCAAGCTCCGACCTCTTTGAATTAGATAATTTTTCAGCTATTGGTATTGAAAGGTATCGAGAAGAATTGCCTGTGTATGAAACAACCCATCTCGATACCAATCGAGCCATTGCTAACGGTTTGCTTGTGTAATTCACAAAGTGCCAAAAAAAGAAAAAAACTATTAGTCAAATGGTTTGGGGGTTTACATCAAAAAATAATATTAATTTCTCTTTTGGTATAGCAATTAAATTAGTCTATTTTCGATTTTCGTGAGTATCAATGTTTGTTTTTTATTTTTTATTGAAGGCCGTCGGGATTTATTTTTTAACATTAAAATTAAATTTTAATATTTTATCAATAAATCAGACAATTATTAACACTATCTATGTTTGCTTTAATTTGATTTTTTTTCGCTTTCATTTCCTTAAACAATGAGCAAACAGTGGCTATCTAAGACATGGCAGAGAGAGAGGGAGAGAGAGGGAGAAGAAGATTAAGATGAGGTGAAAAGCAAAGGCAGATTTTCTACTCTTATCATCCAAACCCAAACAAGCCTTTTTTTTTTTTTTCTTTTGCTGTCAAATATGTGGGTCCTTCCTTGCTTCAAGATAATGCAACTCACCACCAATCCATCCAATCTATTTCGGGTTATTAGTCAAGAAAAGAGATGCTGTTGATGCATCAATATAGCTTTAACATTTTTGGGACATAAATAAATTAAACGCATTGAAACTTTAAATATTGTGGCCGGAGCATACATTTTTCCGGTGACGGCATAGTTTGGGAGGAGGTAAAATCGAGGCAACTGGAAAAGAAAAGAGAAGGGGAAGGAGAGAGATACATGGTCTCAAAAGCAATGGACAAAAGGATCTAATCTTTGATCCTCTAAGCCCTTGATGTCAAATTTGGTTGGCTTCCAAATTATGAGAGCAAAAAGGTTGAAAATGCTCTCCATATATTCACCTAAGATATTACACCCTAAACCTCCCATTTTCAAACCAACATATCAATCCCTCATATTGCCAATTAAATTTACCTGTCTTTGCTTTTTGTTGATTATTGAATTTTATCCATTGCCTTGGCCATTTTGTTTTAGTGATAATTAACTAAGCATCAAGAAATGACATTGTGAAAGCGATTTGCCATGCAACCACCGATACGTTGGGTTTAAAAAGAAAATGTTAATTTTCTTATAGTTTCACACTTATGACTATTTATTAATTAACTATCTAATCAAGATTTAAGATCTTCTTGGATATATCAACCGCAATTCTTTGATTCTTTTTTCTCCCCATGGAAAAACATTTGCTACTTCCATTTCCAAACGGTTGGTGAGGTGGGGAAGGTTGACAACAATCATGAGATCTGCTGAGATGGTGGCTCTGACACCACCTACTCCTTCAAGCTGCGGTTCATTGACCATAATTCTTGCCCTTTGTTTAGGTTAGATCTCTTCGTAGATTTGGGTGCATGTCATATTCGAGAGTATGACCCGGTTTCCGACAAGATGTTTTTAAGTCTTGAATCATAAAGTAAAATATATTTTAAATAGTAATATATAAATAATTTTAATACTTTAATATTTTTAAATAATAACTTGGATCGACTTAAATAAATCGGTTGAATCTTGGACGAAATCTTTAAATAATCAATTAAATTTAATCCGATTTATTAGATATTTTTTAAATCGACTTTTTAGATTAGGTCATGTTAGTCGATCGAGATTTGGTTTTAAATAAATTTGATTTGATATATATATATAAACATTTATTTTATTAATATATATTTATTTAATTTTATATTTATATTAAAAATATAATATTTTATATTTAAAAAATAATATTTTTTAATTTCAGATCGTATATAATTTATATATAATTTATATAATATCGAATTATGTTGAATTCAAATATAAAAAATAAAAAAATTCTTCAAATAAAATCGAATTCGAGTTTTATGAATATAAAATTAATTTAAATTCGTGATAAATAAAAATTCGGCATGACCTAGTCCAATTTGCTGCTATCACTAATTTAGACTAACTAGAGGATTATTTTTAAGTAATTCGGCTACGTTTAGACGATGCTGCAGTATAAGGGAGTCCATTCCTAAATAAAAACTTTAATGACAAATTAGTGGTGTACACATAGAAGCCATGGTGTTATGCACCAGAAAGCTTAATTTCACATATTTTGGGCAAAGATGCTTGTTATAATTAGAGAATTAATTGAGTTTCCATGAAGATATCCAAATGTTTAGAGGTCAAGACTTGACGAATTCAAAATTTAAAATAGATGAAATGAAATATATGAAATCAGAGAAGTAATTAGTTACCTTACATTTTGTAGCTTAGTCAAATATAATTTTTGGCAGATTCATAACTATTTATTTATTGTGGTTGTGGATGACCCCTTTGAGGTCCCAGGACAATGAAGCAACATCAACTAATAAAAACGAATCGTAACCATCATCAGCTTAATCACGCGTCTAGACAAGCCCTTTACGAGCTAGGCATGCCACTTACCAACCATGCTTAAGTCAATGGCACCTCAGCCGATTAACCAGTGAAATCAAACCATAGCAGACCAGTTTTGGATTAGGGGCTAAGTCCACCACAAATTGCTCTGATCATTGGCTCGACAATAATCTTTATTGCTGTCCATACACAAGGGTACATGCGGGGTCAAGAAAATGTTGTAACTGATCATTCATTTATGTTGCACAACTCGTGCAATGAGTGGACTTGAGCCTCAATTTTTGTTAGTATTTCTTTGTGTTTTAGGCAATCTTCCTTCTCTTCTCAATAATTTGGCAGCTGTACATATAATTGGCAAAGATTATAATTTTTTTTTTTTTGTTAAACTTTAAGTTGCCAGGTTTGTATTTTTCTGAATGTCAGTTTTCAATTATCCATCACATATATAATTACCCATAATTTTGATATTGTTGAATATGGCTGCGGAATAGGCTACAAAATTAAATTGACGATGCTTGATCGATTAGCATTTCCTTCAAAACCAAGATTGAAGAGTGATGTACTTTTCTTATGTTTTTATTAGCAAACACTGATTACATGTGCACATAACATCAAATAAATCATGAATTACGGATTGTTTTATAAATGGTTAATGTTACAAATAATCTTTAAATTATAATAAAATAGTTAATATGATATTTGAATTTCAAAATTTATAATGTATTACTTGAATTACAAATTTATTAAATAATATAGTACTTATAAGATTGTTTGTCTGTTATGTATCATTATTTGAAATTAATAAATTTAATCGCATTATAAGTAAAAATCATATTAATTGATAAATTTATAATTTAAGTATCATATTAAAAATTTTATAAATTCAACTATTATATTAAATATTTTATTATAATTGAAAAATTATTTGTAATATTAACTCTTTTATACATGTGAATGGTAATTAAAAGTGTATGGAGATTTTCTTTAAAAAATGTATTAAAAATAACGTAGCATTAAATCGAGTGGGATAGGATTTAGAGTGGCATAACGCTAGTTACTATGTGCCTATTGCATCAATTTCTGAAGCTATGCATGACATAATTCTTTCAATGTCCTAATACTGGAGTTCAAAATATGTTGTAAAATATCGTAATTTGATGACCAATCACACAATAAATCTTAATAATTTAATTTTTATTTCAAAATTTTATATTTTTGGATTGCAATTTCTTGTTAGATTTAAAATTTTTGCACTGTTAAACTTTTTCTTTATGGTAGTTCTTTTTTTTTTTTTTCTTTTTACGTGGAAGTAGAGTAAGAATGGTTCTGTTCAAATTCAAACACAGAAAATGTAAAGAAAAAATAAATATTAACAGAAAAAAAGAAAGTGGGTCCAACTCCAACACATGGAGAGGCAGCGAAGCATGCATGCCACACAAAGAAAAGAAACCAAATGGGGAAGCCAAGTGTGATGTGGTTGCCAGCATGTTCAAAACCTGTCCCGCATGCACACGTGTGACCTTCCCTTCACAGATCCCCGTGAGATCCGTTCATCCGCAATGAAATTTCTGCCTGTCACACCATCACCACCACTCATCTCTCGCCATGTGTACCTATCCGCACGTGTGGGTACCCCACTTTGATTGCCAAGATGACCCATGTGCCCATGGCAGAGTGAAACGGAATTTCCTTTTGAGATGGGTAGTTTTAGAAAAAAGTGAAAAATGTAGATGGAGGGAGACAAGGCGGGCATGCAGCCTTAAAAAAGAAGGGTTTATTTTTGTGTGAGGGAGAGAGACTGATGAGAGAGTGTAAAATGAAAGTATTTTTTTGGTGATCCCAAGGAGAATATAGTGAAACTGTTGGTTTGATTGCAGCAGCAGCTTTTCTTTTCTCTTACAAAAGATCAGATGAGACAACCCCCCCCCCCCCCATCCATCTATCATATAATCTTAATTACATCACGACTTCATAAAAGAGATGATCATGGCATGTCGATCACATTTTCTCAATCCTACCCAAGTGTGAAGTAAGGAATTAAAATGCAGAAGAATTCTTCCCTGTTTTGATGCAAGGGAAAATGTGTTTCTTGAATTAGTGTATAGTTTTGTATATAACATAAGAATATTGGACATTGGGGATATGTAATTTGTTACATATGATCATAGTCTCAAGGCCTTTTATCAGGTTTATTTTGCTAAAAGAACAAGGAACTATTTCCGAAATTCTGTAGCCATGCGCACCTGAAAGTCAGCAGTCTAGCCAGCATATCCTGCGGCTCAGAGGGCAGATCAGAGGCTTTCTCTTCTTTTCATTAGAAAAGAAACAATGACACCTCTCTCTCTCTCTCTCTCTGGCTTTCTCTATATTTTCGTGCGATGTTCTTGTTCTCGCGCGATCCATGTTTCAGAAAAAGCTATTCGGATAGAAACTTTTGAGAATGGCATGAAGGCCTCACAGCTTATTGACAAGTACAAGGAACACATTTAGTTTTGAGTGTTTTGCAACCTTTTTTACGTAATAGATTTCATTTTGTTATTTTAAAATTTGAACTCTAAATCAAATTTTAATTTGACATATCTTGAAAAACATTTAATCTCATTTGAGTTTATAAATAAATCAAGTAAAAGAAAAATTGTCTAAAGATGAAATAATTTTGAACCTCATAGTTAACTTAAATGATTCATCAACTTCTTTTAAGAGATAGATTCTTACAAAATTGAGGTTCAATCTTCATTCTCTTTTTTTATCTTTTAATTTTTGACCTCCTTTATATAAAAAATAAATAATTATTTTTGGTGATTAGAACAATTAAGGTGTGCCATGAATGCACATGTAATTATAAAATAAACAAGAATCAAATAAACTTTTGAGAAGAATGTATCAACATTCTTTTCTTTTCCACCTTATATTCCAAGAACTTTTTTTCTCCACGTTCCTCATGTACATGATTAAGATTACAAGATTACAATAAAATGATAATGATTGTTTGATTATAATAAAGGAAATATTATTGTGAATGCCTCTCCACTTTGCCCCATATATTCAAATTCTAAACTGCTTTAAAATATGCATTTCTTTTGATTAAATAAAAAAAAGACCAATGCTTTAAGAATGAAAAAGAAAGTATGGTGTTATAGGTGAGTTATAAGGTTTGGCATGCATGGCTTGAAAATTAGAGTGTTTTTTTTTTTTTTTTTTGGGTTTCTATGTTTGAATACGTTTGGAAGCTGTAGGAAAATGATGTAAATAAATTTATTTAAATTAGTTCAAACAGAGAATGTACCGAACAAAACCTAAAAACTCCTACCACTAAAAAAATCACACTATTGGCCATTACAAGTAATAAAGAAATTTCAAAAAGGCTATTTGAAACAAATAGTATACTATAGTGTTTTTCAGCTTGTCAATCTCAGACAGAGAGATGCCAAATTCACATGATAATTACTTAGTAAAAACCAATGAAACAGTGACGGCCTAAAATCAGCCATGCCATGGGTTTGATGCGACAATAATTAAGGAGAAAATGATGGCTAAGTACTCGGTTCTTGCCCTTCAAGTTTTCAGCGAAGGTCCGGAATATTTTGGACCATGGAATTACTATTGCGACGATAGCAAACTACACTTGGGATGACAGTGACTTTGGATATATACAAAGTCATATAAATGCTTGTGAAAAAAGCAAGCAACAGCAATTCTGGTGACCACCTCATTTAATTGTCAGCCGTCACATATTTTTCATGCGTTTTGCTCCAGCCATTATGAGGATCTATCTCTTCGAATCACAAATCTAGATACATACAAGTTGACGTGTGAAACCCTTAGTGGAAAAAAAAAACCAATAATTTCATCAAAGCAAAAGAATCCTGTGTGCGGTAGCTATAGAGGGTTAAAGGCTGAAGCCACCATTGCCTATACCTTTGGATGCTTCATTTGTTTCCAGCTGTACCTCCAAAAAGAAAGTTGCATCTATCGCTATCTTAGGTATGCGGGGATTTATACTTTGAACATCATTTCTGCTTTTCAAGAATCCATCGTAAAAATAAATAATTGTATAAATTAATTAATCAAAGTTCTGAATTCATTTATATTCATCGTTGTACAATAACAAACTTTCTTTTAAAAAATTACTATTTTGTCAAATTGTCATCAGTCATAAACACTTTTAAGTTTCTTACGAAATTAACTTGAAGAGAGAATGACATCTCCACCAGAGAAATAATCTTCTAAACCGTCCATATTAAATGTTGCCTTTTATGGGACCCAATAGAAGAAGATTTCCTTGGAAACTGACACAGTAGGAAGATCTGTAGTTGAGTAAATTCAACATCAAGGACGAAGCTGTACCATCAACAGATACGCAGTCGATCATGAACGAAATCAGGCGCCCAAATTTCGGCGAAAGCTGGTTCACCAGCTGATATTTGAAAATGGTATATATAAAATACCCCCATGTGTTATATGTGCACAGACGCCATGAATAGTTTCAAGCAAATGATTCATCGCAATTGATTGAGACTACGACTAATAAGCCACTTGAAGAATGATTATTAGGCAAAATTAATAACGACAACAAATGGCAAATATTATTTTGCTAAAAATTTTCATGGGAAAGTTTTGATTATTGATATCTATATACTTATATGCGGCCGTAGTTCAGGCATGCTTGCTTTCAGCATCGTGGCAATTGGCTTGTTAACATCTAATTATAAAGATGAAAATATGTTTAGGTATCTGTCTTTGTGATATAGATCGATTTGAAGTTATAGTCCAATGAGTATGGTTTTTGTCACCATGACTACGTTTTTTATAATAAAGTAGGAGGTTTTTTCAAGTTTTTATTGGGCTTAATTTTTTTTCATAAGGTTTTAAGGATGCATTTTCATATTTGTGTGTTGTATTAAAATTTTACCCTCGAGTATTTTCTTAAAAGAGAATTTTTTTTTCTTTACGAATTAAGTTAATCCTCAAGGATATTATTTCATAATCACTTTAGTATATCACATCAACAAAATTTATTTTTTTAAAATTTATAATATTAAGTCAATAATGTTATATATATAGTGAGATGATATTTTTACGTGGCATCTCACATTAATATATCGTTAGAGATTAATAGTTGAAGATAAAAAAATTATTTATTTAAATTTTAATGATTAAATTAAAAATTTTAAAAATTAAATAAATATTTTAAAAATATGACTATATATATATATGTATTATATATATATATATATATATATGAATGACCAAAGAAATATTTTACTTGGCAAAGGATAAATTAGGGATTTGATTTTGAAAGCCCAATTAAGGTATCGGGATTCTTAGCAAACAGCACGTTTGAGTTTTGATTATTTATAAATGATGAGTTAATATATAATTTGTTGATCTATCGTGTATTCGTATTTATTTATTTTATTTTATTTATAAAATATTAAAATTATTGTATTATAATTTATATTAGCAATTTAAATACAAACATATATATTTTTTGCTTTTGTTGAACTTATAATTTTTATTGAAAATTTAAATTATTTTATTTTCATATTTAATGTTAACACTTCAAATACAAAAATACTTTTTCGTTTTCATTAAATTCATACTATTGTTATTAAAATTTTATATTGTATCTTTTTTAATTTTTTTCATACCATATCCATATTTAAAATTATCAGATTCAATAATTTGAATAGTAGGTTACAGTAGTAATTTGGTTTAACTCACAATAAATAAGGAAGTAAAGATTGGTACAGATCTGCAGAGATAAGAACCGAAACCCCGAAAATGTTAAATCTTTTTTCAAATCCAAACGAGGATCATCACCATTTTCTTTTCTTCAAGATCATAGTTCATTCTAGTTTTGATGATTTTGTAAGTGTTGGTTTCAGTTGTCAACAGTGGAGAATTAATCATTTGAGAGTCGTTGGTAGCCCATTGGTTAAAAAACAAGACAACAGCCCTAGACCAAATAAGGACCTCTCCATCTTTACCAGTCATTTGGACATTGGAACGTGACAGCTCGAATGATGATTCACCAGTCCCTAGTTCTCAACTCCATAAGTTGAATTGAAATGCCATTCTGGTTCAAACACCGAGAACACGAAGTTAGCACAGCATATGATAAACAAACTCCCTTGCCTGCTGCCCATCCGGACAAAATCATTAAGAAAACAGTTTTCCTAGATAGTACAGAGAATTAGAGCAATCTTATTTCTATTTTACACAAGTAAAATCTAGTATTATTTACAATGTTACAAGTATCCTGGTCTTGCTTCATTTACACTTCTGTCATCGCAGACAGCCTGCTTGGTCACACCAAGATTTGGTGGTGGAACCTGTGCCTGCATCTCAGCAAGCTCTCTCACGCGTAATAAAATTGGTGCAGGGATAGGCATTGAAGGGTGTTTCCGTGAATTTACCTACATTATCAAGCACAACAAAACCATAAATGTATTGAAAAGAATGAAACCTATAATGTTGGGTGTTCCAACAGAGAACCCCTTCCAGGAGGGCAAAATGAAACATGGGGAAAAGTTATTCATTATTGGAAGAAGTAAAGAGGATAATTCGGGTGAACTTTGTTGTATCATCATTTGAGGAAGAAATCAATTAGAAATAAACTTGATATCTCACCCCTTTGTCTGCAGGTGTCTGGGCAAAGCTAGCTTTCAGCAGATTTCTCCATTTGTCCTACAAAATAACATTTATCAGGAAAAATTATTTTTCCTACAGTCATCACCAATTCTTATCCTTAACCAAATGGCAAAAACTCATTCCTTTCAGCATCATTTATTACCCAACAAAAACACCATATGCATACCTTGAGATCAACAGAGGTTCTATATGAATAGGATGCAAAGGCAAGCCTTTTAATCTCAGACCATCTGCCAGCTCCATACTTAGACACACCCTCAACTAGCTTCATAACCTCAGAGAGAGTCCAAGCTCGATGATGTTTCCTTCTAGTTCCACCTTTTGCGGTTGGTACAGTAACAACTTTATCATCTGAAGTATCTCCAGATGGATCTACATATTTTGGCGCCATATTCTGCCCCAGCTCAGCTGATGGCTTCTCTTTCTTGGATTCAGTTACAAACTGAATATAGAAACAGAACATAAAATAAGCAAATAAAGTTCAGTTACAATAAACTAAAAAGAACGAAGGTGTAACATAGTTCCTGTTATTGATATCGTTTACTCTTTTCACCTGTTGTGGGGTTTGCTCAGAAGTAGAGTTGGCTTCCAAAACTTTGTTCAGACTCCCATTGTCCATTTGAGAACTACGTACATCAAGTCCCTTCCTAACAAATGTAGCTGTCATGCCCATATCACTGGGATGGTATTTCTGCAAAAGGCAACTCAAGTTCCATCAGAAACATAACCTCTACGATCCACATTATACCAGTAACACAGGTGATAGATTCCCAATCCATAAAACATCGGTCAAAGAAAGAAGTAACGAAACATTCAATTCATGGGTGATACTTGACTTCCTAAGTTTTAGAAGTTATTGTTATCTATTCAGGTTGAAAATGCTCATGTCAGAAATGGACACTGATGAATAAACTCATAAACCAACTAGAGTGCCACAAGAGACAAGGGAAACTTTTGCACAGGATTATGAAAGCTAACAGGGAATATCTGAAAGTTCTTTCCGAAAGCAAAAATCAAATTAAAAAACGTAGATATTCAAAGCCAAATTCATATTGTTGAGACAGATAAGCAGTATTTTATCTTTTTCACATACCAAAAGAGCCATGACATTCTTCCTCGGCCGGCTTCTTCGAACCCGATAAACACACGGAACCTGAATTCCAGATCCTCCAAGGGAATCCAACCTTATGATAACAGTTCTCCCTTCTAAGGACGCATTTCTAGCAGGCCTAGCATGAGATTTTAACACCGAGGGTCTAATTCCAATGTTTTTTGTTGAAGTAATTAACCTGCCACCATCCTCTTTGGACTTTGCTTCAGAAAGTTCTTCAATATACCGCTTTGTTGGCTTCCTAACTCTCTTTGCAGCTCTCTGATCTACAGCAAGATCTTCAATTGCACAATTGTTTTCCAGATCATTATTTTCCAATCTCGTCCCAGAAGTAGTTTGATGTTCATCTATTTGAATGCCATGGTTATTCAGCGATACCTCATGGTATTCAACTCCAATTGCTGGGTGTTCTTTGCCAGTACCAAGATCCACATTGTTAGAACTATCTACTTTACCCTTTTTCACCAATTTATTGTCTTTAATTACAATAGTTGTAGTTGAAACATCACAAGAATTAGTCAATCCCATGGCAATCCTTCTTTTAAGCCACTGCTTGTCCTTGACAGTAGTGTCTCGCCCAAATGTTGCCTTAAAAACTTCATGAAGTTCTTTAATTGATAAATTATCCAAGCATATTTCACCCTTCAACTTGGAAAAATCAGGTTTTAAACTAATACAGCTGGCAGAAGTTGATGATCCACCTTCTATTGGCCCATCCAGAGGTTTTGAGCCCTCCACAACACTCACAGATTGAGTAACATGATCGTCACTCAAGCTCTGTGCCCCAGAAGGGACCATTTCCTGCAAAAGAATTTGAGATTGGAGCTTCTCATCAATACCAGTCAAGCTGTCTACATTCATATAAGCAGAAGAATGATCAGGCGATCAAGATGCTAAATGGAGCCTCTCTTCGTGTTTGACTTTATGCAACATTTCCTCTATGCACTAAGGAGATATTAAGGCCAAGAAGGATCCAAGATAATTAATAGTTCAATTAATACCGAAACAACTAACTTCAAATCAATCATGTGCTTGCATATGTACAGGTAGGGAAAGAAACAATGAAAGATCAAAACCGGTGAGAGAAAAGAGCCTAAAAACTACACAGAATATAAATTTAAAGGAGTAGATATCAACCCTACCTCCCCAACCCCCCCCCCCCCCCAAAAAAAAAAGAAAAAGATAACATTGTTCTCTTTAGATACAGATTGTTAACCCCTTCTTATTAGTTAACATGTAGTTGTTAAATATTACATATTTAAAACTCTGAAAAAGATACTCATATACTGACACGAGTATATGAAAAAATCTTTATTCCCTAAGACAGATGATTTGATTCAAACAAAACAGTGAAAAAACTAGAAGTGGGTTTGATTTCTTCATTTTTTTTCCAGAAAACAAGAACAAGACGGATAGGTCACCAGACATGATAAGAAGAACAAAAAATAATGCAAGAAATGTTAGAATTTATGTAACTTTAACAATTACACAGTCATCCTCACCAGATACAGGTTCTGTAAATTTCAAGAAGATAGTTTCGACTAAAATGGAGCATAATTGCCAAAAATTGAGATTAAGGACCTCTAAACCATCAAAATCCATAATTAAAATATCAACATAACCTCCCATCTCAAGCTTAAAAAAAAAAAAGCTTTGACAAAGTGTTCTTCAAGAGAAAACTCAAAGATCAAGCCCTAGGCAGTGTTTTACACGCAAATATGACAAGCATCTGGTAATCCATTTAAAGGAAAGTTAAGAATTCAAGTGCAGTGAAAGTTGGAAATACCTCAAGGCATGCACTTAATTTTGCAGTATCAGCTTCTGTGTTCTCAGATTGTGACAAACCTAGCAAATATTAATCATGCAGAAAATGAAAATATATAAACATCACAACACAAAATATGTACAAATGCTCATTCCCGTGAGCATAAAAGTTGAAACAGCAAGACCAGAAGCAATATTAAAAATAAAAAATTTGCAGAAAGCTACCCCCTGCATCTTCAAACACAAAGCTAGATTTTCAAGTGAACCTTTTCCGACACCATATTGCTCATATATATATGCTCAAATGACTTTTTTGTGAATCTACTTGTTTTCTGTTTTTCATTTAGCCGATTCAATGAACTTTGTTTTACCTCTAGGGAATTTCTCATGTACATGTCTTCATTACTCAGACTATACCTCCTTGACATTTGGCAACTTTTAATTTCATTATTTATGCATATCAGCAAAAGATGTACATGCATATTTAAAAGTTGACGGAAATGGAAAAATCTATGAAACAGAACAGAAATACACAGGAAGCATGCAAAATAATCAGCCAAGACCATCAACACAGAGAAAAATACAATTAAAATCACAAGTCAGTGAATTAAGAAATCCCAACTCCAGTCACAATCAGCAGAGATAGACTTTTTTTTTTATAATTTAATAGGTGTTAAAATTTCATGATGTAGGGCTAAGAAAATCATACCTTCTGAGCTTTCTAACTGAGGCATGCCAGAGGATGATGCTTCATTAGAAGTGCAAACTAATGCATGTCCAGTGTCTGCAACAATATGGGTTTCACACTTTTCATTTTCCAGCAAACCCTCAACCTCCATGAGTTCATCATCTGTCGCAGGCACTAATCTCCCATCCCCCTCAACCTATATGACATAGTTTCAATTTAAGATTGCAAATAAGAATAAATCAACCTGAAGCTATATGTCCACATCTTTAGGATACATTAAACTAGGAACTTAGAAATCATTTTTGCTTTATCATTGTCAGTGATCACCGATATCTGTCAAATCAAATAAGAGCTTGAGTGCTTCAATACTTTTGGCAAAACTCAGGTGAGCCATGTGTGTTTGTTGATTGAAGCCTATTAGTGTGAATAACATTTTCAAATCGGCAGAAAGGGATAAAGTGTTTTTTTAAAGGATATATCCCCCTCTTTCAGATATGTAAAAGCATCACTCCTTTTATTAAATAAACTTGGTAACCAAGCACACTTAAAAAAAAAGAGATTCCAGCTAATCAAAGCAGATCAAGTTGTTCTCTTACATTAACTAGTTTTACTATGCAAAAGCTCAAACTAACAGCTATAGCCAAAAAAAAAAAAAAAATGAACATTACATTTTAAAGTATGTCATTCCCCTTCAAGAAACCTATCGTTTCTACACCGATCATAAATATGGTAACACATTCTAAATGGTATTTTGATATTACCATATCATTTCAACTGAACCCAACCTCCACTCTAGGTGATTCTAAACTTGTAATTCAACCAATTTCTACATGTCATTGTTTTCTAAATGAATTGATGGTAGATATTCACCACATTAATTTGTCTTTCACAAACCAGCTAATCTAGCCCACAAACATGCTGCTTTATAAATGACCAATAATCAAAGAAAGGTAACGCAGAAACCCGATATTTATAACACTTTTAAAATCTTTTAACTGACCCACAGTCAAATGACTTCCTGATTAATTCTTACATTAATGTAGCTCAATTATCAAACTTAAGCAAATCCAAGTCAACATTCTTACACAAAAAAAAAAAAACAAAAAGTGGGAAGCAGGTACAAGTTCTTTGCATATCAGTAGAAGAAAATAATTAGAATAACATTTGCCAAAAGAGGTACCCGAACAAGCTTGTAAACAACCGGATCGGCAACATGCCTTGGTGAAGATAAAACCAAGTTACTTTTCTCAAGGGCAGTCTCTACAAATTTCCCTTCATCACTCCCCTGAACTTCAACCACTGCTTCCATGGAAAATCAACGACACGAAGCTCACAAACAAAAACTGGAAGCCAAAACCAAAAAATAGCCAAATAAAAAGACACATCAATTTTCTTGTCATCTCAAAAAGAATACTTCATTCATGCATGGGAACACAAGCAAGCACAGCAAGCAAAATTCAAATTTTAGCAGTTCCCATATTGATATCATTTATTAGGTCATTTAAACTTTACTTGCTCAACAGTCAAATAACCTAGTATCTTGAATTGATTACCAAATTCACTCAAAATAGTCCAAATTTTAACACACGCCTAGAATATTTCAATCTAATCCAAAAAGAAATTAAATTTCAAAGTAAAACGTAATAAACCCAACAAATACATTAAAATTTCCACTTTAATTCAAAATTAACTATAACAACTCCTTTCACGAACCAAAATTCCCATATTTCGACGAATTGAAACCCTAATTCTCAAATTACAACAACCTAAAGTAAAATAAGCTCGTTCTCTAACTAGTTATATTTCCATACATAAACAAGAAAAAAGAAAGAACACATAAAAGCTTCAGATATTCCAATAATTAATTTAACTACACATAAAGACAAATAAATGAAATTTCAAAGTAGTTTGTCTCACCATAGGACTGTGATTGTTGACCGAGTTGACTCAGGCCCTCCAAACGATAAACAAATTAAGGACTGTGTGATCGATTTGGAGTGACTTAGAGGCGCGAAAAACTGAGTTGGCACAACGATTTAACGAAATGAGAGAGAGAAACTTATAGAAAAAGATTTCTTTCCTTTTTCGCTAGCGGTGGAGTATTTTCCATTTTGGCTCGCTTCGGCAGTACGCTGCGTTTACTGTCAGACAGTTCCGGAATCGAAAATTTATGACAATTGTATTTTATAAAATGGCGTAGAGTCCGGGATAGTTTTTCCGGGTAGGCGAAGGTCCTTGCCCTTTTCTGTACAGTAGTCAGAATACATTCTGTTCGGTTCGCTCCACAATCGCTTTCTGCTTTTCCTTTTTTTTTTTTTTTTTTTAACAAGAAAATTAAACAAACGTTCTAAATTTGGTTTTCAAAATGGATTTCTTTTTCTTAGAAAGCAATAGTAGTTAGAACATATTTTTTTAGAAAAAAATTTTAAATTTGTATTGTTTTAGTTGTTATAAAGATTTTCCGTTTAAGAGAATTCGATTTTTAGGTTTGATGAAAATTTTTGAAATCATCACTAATCATTTTTGTAAGATATAATTGATTACTCAAAAATATTATCTTTTAATAAAAATATTAAAATTAATTAAGATTTACTAAAATAAATTTAAGTATGTGAAATTAGGACTAGATCCAAGAGTATAGTTATGAATAAAAAAGATATTAGCATCTTCACGTCGCTTATTCGAAGAATAATACCAATTAAATATATATAATTCTTTAATCTTGACGATATGATTTTTTTTTATATTTAAATTTAAATTTTTTAAATTTATTTATGAAAAACATTTTTTGTTGTGAAGTTAATATTATTATTATTGGTGTATTCTTTAATCTTTGTCATCATTTTTTTATTTAAATAAAATTTTATTTAGCAAAAATATAATTTTTTGGATTATCCAAACTCTTTGATGAAATCTAAAAATAGTTTTTTTTAATAATTAAGAGATTTATTTAAAGAATTATTTTTATTTTTATTTTTTATTATCATTTAAATGTATATATTTATTTAGTGAAAAATAATTTTTAGGTTATCTTAATTGATTTGTAAAATCTAAAAATATTTTATTTTATTTTTACTTGCATTAAAAAAATTGAACTCTTTCAATTTTATTCAAAAATCACCTTTTTAGAATATTTATTCAAATAATCAATTATTATTATTTTATTTTTTATTTATTAAAACTGATTTTAAAATTATTTCGATTCTTTGGCGAAATCCAAAAATCATTTTTTAAGTTGATTTTTTTATTTTTAGGATTTTTTTGATTCTTTGACGAAATCTTAAAAATTTTAAACTGATTTTAAGATCATTTCAACTTTTTGGTGAGATCCTAAAAAAATCTTTTCTCTCGATGATAATTAAAAAAAATTTAATTTTTCTTAAAATTCTTACTTAAGATATTCGATTAAACAATTAATTTTTTGTTTTATTATTTATTATTTATTATTGTTTTGGACAAAATAGATGTCTATATTTACCCTTCTTTACATATTGCTGAGAATTAAAAATAAGGCAAAGACAAAAGATAACTAATTTGTCTGAACGATGTTATAGGTACGAACACATTTTTTTAATCTTTTATTTATTTATTTATTTGAAAGAAAATTTGGAAGGTTTTTCTAAGTATAAGCTTGAGAATTTTTGAAAATTTAAAAACTCCTCTAAATAGAAGCTCAACAACTTTTGAAAATTTAAAAAAGATTACCTTTGATTAGAGGTAATGATACTTTAAAATTTAAAAGGCTCTTCTAACTAAAGGCTATGAAATTTTAAATATCTCATTTAAACAGAGGTAATGAAACTTTAAATTTAAAAGGCTTTTTTGACCACAGGCAAAAAAACTTTAAATGACTTCTCTAACTAAAGGTAATAAAACTTTAAATTAAAAATCTGAGAGGGTTTATAGATGATACCCATTGGTTTTACAAATCATGCCTAATTTTGATAGAATTCTTTAATCAGAGGCTCTTAAAATTAAAAAGCTCTTTTGACCAAACGCTATGAAACTTTAAATGGCTCATCTTATTAGAGGTTATGACACTTTAAAGAAAGCTCATATGACTAGAGGTAATGACACTTTAAATAGCTCCTCTAACCAGAGGCAATGAAATTTTAAATTTTAAAATTTGAGAATATTTATAGATTATGTCCTTTGGTTTTACAAATCATGCCTAATTTTGATGGAATTCTCTAATCAAAGGCTCTTAAAATTAAGAAAAACTCCTCTGACCGGAGGTTATGAAACTTTAAATGGCTCATCTGACCAAAGGCTATGACACTTTAAAGAAAGTTCTTTTAAGCAAAGACTATGACATTTTTAAAGAAAGCTCCTCTGACCAGCAGTAATGAAACTTTAAATTTAAAAGTCTGAGAGGCAATGGTATTTGAAAGATTCCTCTAAACAGAGGGTTCATATCTTTTTTGCTTTTGACTTTTCCTTTTATTGGTCTTAGATTGTCCTAAACCATATGTTTATTATATTACATACATGCATGAATGACATTTTCATGCTTTTGCAATGTCATGCAATGAATGATGATCATGATGCAAATGAAAATACCATATTCTTTCTTTGTCATTTTTTTTAATCCTAGAAATTTCTTATTGTCTGTTTCCCTTTCCTTTTTGAATCACATGTATTCTAGCAGCTGATTAAGTTCAGATAAAAAGATTTCTCTCTACAATTCCCATATTCAAGATTTATCACTTTCATGACTTATAGACCTTTTTCTTGTTGACCATTGTTCCTAACTATTTTGCTTATCATTTTAAATTTCTTTCAAAATAATGTGTCTTTCATGGTCATTATTGTTCATTCATCATCTTTTGAATTTCATGACAATTATAACACATATCACATTTCTCTTTTAATGAGAAAGATAAATGAAGGATAAACAAAGATGTATTTTATTTTAGTAAAAGATAAATGAAGGATAAACAAAGATGTATTTTATTTTAGTAAAAGAGAGAAATTTTTTATGCATTATCCAAAAGGATATAACAAGGAAAATAATTAATCATATAACAAATATTCAGATAATCATAAACTAATTCATCCTGGATTCTTTTATGAAAACTTTGATTGATGCCCTTTGACTTTCTAAAAATGCAGCAAACCAAGCTAGCTCAAAACCAATGAGATCTTTTGGCATATATTGAGAATTATCCTATTCCATTCAATTTTCCTTTATCTAAGTTGTCCTTTTAGATTTTTAACTCAGATATCTTTTCATTCCGTTTTGCCTTTGCATCTTTTTTTTTTAAGTGTAGTACTTCTTTACTACATCATTGTTGATTGAATTTGAAAAATCATCCCCATCCATATTTGCCAAGATCAGTGCCACACCAAAGAACACTTTTTTATAACATATGGGTCCTCTTAATTAAAAGTTTATTTTTTTTTATGATCCTTTTGGTTATAAAAAATCTTTTTCAATACTAATTCTTCTCAAAATTATTGAGAACAAACTTTTCTGTCATGAGCTTACATCTATATTTTTTTATATTGTTGACCATAACAAAGTGTAACTAGTCTCATTTGTTCAATGAGATTCAACTGTTCATATTGAATACAAGCTCATTCAGTTTCTTCTAACTCAACTTTTATGAAAACGCACAAAAAAAAAATTTCAACTTCAATGGGCAACAATGCTTTATCCCATAAATCAATGAAAATAGTATCGCTCCTATAGATATGCGAATTGAAGTTCGATAAGCATGTAATGAAATGGTAGCTTTTCATACCAATCTTTATATACATCTATCATTTTTTTAGCAATTCTCTTTATGTTCTTATTGGCCGTTTCAACTGTGTCATTCATCTTTGGACGATAAAAGCGTTGATTTGTGGTGCTTGATTTTGAATTGGGCACAAACCTCACTCATCATTTTGTTATTCAAATTAAGAGCATTATCCAAAATGATCTTTTCTGAAAGTTCATATCAGCATATGATCTATTTTTTGATGAACTTTCAAACTACCATTCTTGTCACATTAGCATATAAAGCCACCTCTACCCATTTTATAAAGTAGCCAATCACCATTAAAATGAATCGATATTCATTTGAAGCTTTTAGTGTAATGGGCCCTATCACATCCATTTTCTACATAGAAAAAGACCAAGGTATTGACATAACATGCAAGGATGTTGGAAGAACTTGTATCTTGTTTGCATTAATTTGACATTTGTGGCATTTTCTAACGGAGTCGATGCAATCTTTTTCTATTGTTAACCAATAGTATCATGCTCTCATGATTTACTTAGTCATCATGTGATCATTTGTATAAGTTTCACAAACACCTTTATGGATTTCTTCTAGCAACTTTTTAACTTCAATAGTATTCACACATCTCAATAATATTTGGTCTTGACTTTTCTTCTATAAAATTTTTTCATAAAAAAAACCATCGTCAGTCTTCTCAAAGTTCTCTTATCATTATTTGATATATGCTTTAGATATTGCTGGTACTTGATCTATTGTAATATGTCAGAATACCATGGTTTTTCATTAACTTTTTTCTCAATATTTTAACAGTGAGCTATTTCTCTCATAAGCTCAACTTAATGGGTTAGACTTCAACATTTTCATTTAGCTTAAACATTATTGTTAATATAGCCAAAGCATCAGCCATCTTATTCTTTCATCAGGGTAACTGATAAAACCAAATATTCTCAAATTTTTTGATCAATTTTGATATGTACTTTTGATATAAAATTAACTTTGAATCTGTGATTTTTCATTCTCCTCGCAATTGGTAATGACTAAGGCAGAGTCTTCACTAAATTTTAATGTATGGGCTTTCCTTTCAAAAATAACTTGAAGACCCATAACGCATGATTTATATTTATCACATTATTGGTGTAATAAAAACTTAGTTTTGCAATGATTGGGTAATAATCTATTTCAAGATATATCAAAATTACTCATATACCATGCCCCAAGCATTTGATGTGCCATCAAAATACATCTTTTATCTATATATTAGGCTCTTCTTTATCTATGTACAATATAAATATTAAGTCCTCATTTGAAAAATCGAATGTCATAGGCACATAATATTTGTGAGCATGTTTTGTAAAAAATTCAGCAATAATACTTTTTTAATTACCTTTTGGAACATGTACATAATGTTATATTTAAAACGTAACACTTGTCATCTTGTTATTCTTCCTAATAATAAAGGTTTTTCAAAAATGTACTTGATTGGATCCAACTTCGAAATGAGCCAAGTGTTATGATACAATATGCACTATCTAAGTCGACGAGCTGTCCAAGCTAGTGCATAATAAATCTTTTC